TGACTGAAGCCTCCCCCCCCCCCCCCTCAAGAAAGAAGCGATTCCAACCGAATCCAGGTCTCCTGTAATATCTGAAATAATTTTTATCTTTTACCTTGGTGGAGCTCGGAGCTCTCGGGGGTCCGTCGACCAGGTAGTTCACTTGTTCAAGGACATTAACCTTGTGATGCACATTTTTAGCTGAGCTGTTAATTGATGTCCGTAGGCGCCTGGATTTCAGGAAATAATAAATCAGAGTGCCTCTGTTTAGTACTCAATTCTCTTGACACAAAATGACGACTGCAGTCCAGCAAAACAATGAAAAAGAAACTAGCCACTTCGTGTTCAGAATTCTTATATATTTGAACAATTCTGGTGATAGAACTTGCTTTTGTTTCACAATGTATAAAATCTGTCATAATCGTAACAAGTTACATACTAGTTTGACCAATGGATTAAGTGCTTTTTTAAAAATATTAACAACATCAAAATAGTCACCTTCAAGCCAAAGTTGACTAAAGATAAATCACACCACATTTCCTACACAAACGCCTTTTCCCCAGTGAATTTTGTTTTGAAAGTGTTACAAAATAAAGCACAATACACATGTAAGCTGCCTTTTTAAAAAAAAAATGAACTTTTTATCATGAACATCTGGCATTTTTGAAGACATTTATATGAAAGATATATACTCAATATGAAACAACTCTGTTTTGTTCATTACTATTCTTCTAAAACATTGAAATCAGATCTTCACTATAATATCATGCAATATTAATAAATCTTAGATATCTTTTATGTATATAATTGTGACCATGGTAAATTTTTCTTTAAATAATTTGGAATACGTTATAGAGCTTTATATTAATAGTTAGTTTACTATAACAGAGAGCAGGTATTGGTTGGCGGTTTTGGAAGATGTCCAGCATATTGTCCTTGTTGAGTCAGATACAGTACCACTGCAAGCAGTAACACCAGCAAGACAATGACAAATAGAAGCAGGGTGAACATGTGTCTTAATCTTTTATCCAACACAGCATTCTCTTCAAGAACTTGCTTGAGCTGAAATTAAATATATACATTTATACCAGTCATGTACGAGCTCAATGAAAAAAGAATATGACTTATGATAACAATTAAACATATTTCCTATTATTTAATATGGTTATTTACTGTGAAAATCAGATGAAAGAGCAGACAGTTACAAATTAAACTTTAAAATGAATCTATATTTCAGCCACATAAGAACTGCTAGAAAATAGGTATAATAATAATAATAATAATTTGAACTTTATTTAAAGAGGGTAAACATGTTATGTATGGCCCTCTGTTACCAGACATTCAACAGTACTGGCTTTGTTCCCTACTTCAACCTTTATATGCTGATTGCTAAGCAAGGAGACAGTAGGTACCATTTTTATGATGGTCTTTGGTTTGACCTGGCCGGGGATTGAACCCGCGACCTACTGCACCAGAGGCGAGCACTCCAATATTTAAGCCATCCAGTTAATAAAAGAGTACATGTAGTAGGTACTTATATAAAAATAACAGTATCCTGATATCAAACTAAATCAAATCCACTGGATTGAGCTGACCAACAAGTTAGAAAACCATATAATAGTATAATAGTATTGGCAATTAAAAAATAAATATTTTTCATATTTCACAAAAATTCTACTTTTCCAATCCAAGTCAACTACCTTTTCAAAACTTTTGGATCAGCATTTCTAAATATCACTAACATTTTTTTTTTTTGTGGAACATTACCAATTCATTTTTTCAGAACGGAATAAAAAACTGCATATAGTTTACCTTATTATTAATATCCTTCAACTGATCCTGCAGTTGTATGGGGACATCTTCCTCAGAATCCGTTTTTGCCTGTGTTAGCACACATCGAAGTCTGAAACATTGAGGATTAGCTTTAAATCAGCAAATCAAATCTTTCTGGTTAGAAGTGACTGTCATGGTCTACATTTTTTAATACAGTCACCCATTTCCCTTGTAATACTTGCAATTGCAAAAATCCTTACACAGAGCCTGTTTTAATTTTTTTTGCAAGTGAAATTCATCAGTCTCCATCCCCATTTCTAGAGTGACTCAAAATTTAGAGATGTTGAATGCAAAAACTGGTTGATTGATAGTAATTTTGTTAACAGTCATGGGGGTGGTGGACTTCAGTGAATAATGGAAAAACTTTTCAAATTTTCAGAAAGATTAATATATAGCGAAATAAAAGGTCTGCTTAGTGAGTGTCTTTTAAAATATTTGAGAAGGCAATGTTGATGGGTGCTGCATAGCATTTTAGCTATATTATCACAATAGAAGCAAAGTCGCTATGAATGTACCTAGTTCATTTGACGAAGTGATATAATTTAAAGATTTTCACCTGTGTTCTGTCACACTCTCTCTAGATGCCATTTTCCACATTTCATGGATGTCAGAAGCAGATGACACATTTTCTTGGTTTTCCATGGCCATTACAAGAAATTTATCACGGTTGATTGTTTGATGAAATCCTGTAAAAACATGACACTCATAATAAAATAAATACTACTTTCATTCTACAAACAAAATTTATCAATGAATCTAGATAACAATGTTTTCATAAAGTTAAGATCAATGCCAACAATTTCCTCATTAAATTTTCAGAGGATGAAATCTTAATCTACCTGATGGTGAATAAAAGTAAAAGAACAGAAAACTGTCAAGACTTTAAATTCTTTCTTCTAGTTGGGGAAAAAAGGAATAAAAACTTAATAGTTCACTGGTCTTATTTAAGCTTATTTTCATTTTATCTCTATAGTAATAAGTACTTATTATTTCAATGACTGCGATCACATTCTTACTGAGAGCAATATTTTGATGGTCATTGCCACAGTACACCTAATGCAATGCTGGTCACACCACAGTAAACCATCAGTGCAGTTGTACACAATATCAATTTCCCAAAAAGGATAAATACCGGGTCAATTAATACCTTTTAGGTTGGACAGGGGCAATCAGCAGGGATAGGGGGGACAGAGGGCTATCACTTACCAGGCAAGCCACAGAGGAGTTCAATGTGGTTAGAAAATTTAAAAAAATGAAAGAAACATATTGTTTGGGTTGTGCTTTGGAGAAACATAGTAGCATTCAAAAGAAAACCACCAAAGTGTGTACATTTACCTGGTAATAAATACACATTGACTTCCACACAAGAACCTGGATTGATTACCCCAGCACTTGGACGTACCCTGTATTTTTCGGGGGAGGTGGTTTTCACCTGAAATTCAACATACAATATGTGTCACATAATCTTAAGATTACCTTTTTCCTATTACTTTGATGAGGAAAGATCTGCCCTCACCCCACTCCCTTCATCCCAAACCCCCCCCCC